CCCAGCAGATGTGCGGTATCAATATCATCGCGTTCTACTCTACTACCGTGTTCAAGGAGGCCGGTATGTCTGACTTCAAAGCCATGATAGGCTCTTTTGGCTTCGGCCTGGTGAATTGGCTATTCTCTTTCCCTGCGTTCTGGACCATCGACACTGTAAGTCTGTCTCCATCATGGTATTGCAATATCACTGACCTTTTAATAGTTCGGTCGCCGAAGTCTACTCCTTTTCACGTTTCCCCAAATGACTTGGACACTCCTTGCTGCTGGCCTCTGTACTCTTATTTCGAAAGACACAGGAGATCTTCGTACTGCTCTCATATGTCTTTTTGTATTCCTCTTTGGCGCCTTCTACTCTCCTGGCGCGGGCCCCGTTCCATTCACATACGCCGCCGAAGTCTTTCCCCTTTCCCACCGAGAGACAGGTATGGGCTTTGCCGTGGCCACTTGTTTCTTCTGGGCCACTGTCCTTGGCATATCATTCCCCTTTGTCCTTGAGCAACTTCAGACCGTTGGTGCCTTTGGTCTATATGCAGTGTTCAATCTGATCGCTTTCATCATGATCTTCTTCTGGGTTCCTGAGACGAAACAGCGGACTCTCGAAGAGCTTGATTGGGTATTTGCTGTGACTACAGGGAAATTTGCTTCACATCAGCTTCGTGTTGCGCTTCCGTATTGGTTCAAGCGGTCGGTGCTTTTGAAGAAGGATACTACTAACAAGCCTCTTTATGAGTTTGAGATTGTTGATGGCACTGGTACCTGCGAAGCTAAGGGTGCGAGCGAAAGAGCATAGGATTTGTGACGGCATTGACAAAGGACCAGAATGAATGATGCCAGTTTTAGGCTCAGAATAGAATCAAGACTGAATTCAAGAGAACTGAACTTTACCGTTCCAACCATCGTGATGCCTCAAAACTGGTGCTCATTGTCACATACTAGCCCCTCAAAATGCAGGAATATCACAACGGACTCTCATAATAGGCTCGAAATAAATTGTAGAAATAAGATAAGAAAGCAAAAAGAAACAAAAGAAACATACAACACCGGG